GCACTATCCCAATGATTGCGTGGTGTTGTGGGTGCTGTATCTCCATGATTGTGTGGTGTTGTGGGTGATATATCCCGATGCTTGTGTGGTGTTGTGGGTGCTATATCCCCCATGATTGTGTGGTGTTGAAGGTGCTATATCCCCATAATTGTGTGTTGTTGTGGGTGCTATATCCCCATAATTGTGTGGTGTTGCGGGTGCTATATCCCCATAATTGTGTGGTCTTGTGGGTGCTATATCCCCCATGATTGTGTGCTGTTGTGGGTGCTATATCCCCCATGATTGTGTGGTATTATGGGTACTATATCCCGATGATTGTGTGGTGTTGTGGGTGCTATATCCCCATGATTGTGTGGTGTTGTGGGTGCTGCCACAGCTACATTCCAATGATTGTAAAGTGTTACGACATTTAGATAAAAAGTCACTAACAAACTCACAAGATTTTTTTACTGCACACTACCACCGCACACCCCCATTTTACACTTCACTTGCACACTACCATTGATGAACACTATCATTGCACATACGCTCATGTCACGACAATGTTCGACACACCACTATCGACACATCAAAATGTAAACAATCTTCGGTCGTGATACGTGGCTTCCGGTCGTTTTAGAACATGCGTAGATCAATTAGCATTGAACACGTGATAATTACAAGCTCATTTTGTTGGTTGAAGAAATGTTAACATTGTGTTTTGTTTTGGTTGTTTATAAAAGCGGTGGGGGTTGTATTGGTGACAATTAGGGCGGGCATTGGGTTAAATTTGAGAAAGGATTTCGTCTTCATCCTTCAACGACTACATGAATGATGTACGAATATTAAAAGCAGTTTGGTGTCACCCCTTTTCCAGATAGTAATAGTAACACCCAGTGCCTAAGGATATATATATATATATATATATATATATATATATATATATATATATATATATATATATATATATATATATATATATATGTATATATATATATATGTATATATATATATATATGTATATATATATATATATATATATATATATATATATATATATATATATATATATATATATATATATATATATATAACGTAGCAAACTAACTGATATAGCAGACTCATTAAAATTGGATAGATTTCGTTTTGGTGTCACCCGATTGGATGGTGCAACACCCGGAACAGACTGCAACCTCCACCCACCCCGCGTTGTGACGCTACTGGTGGTATTTAAGTGTTGCTGCCTTAACCCTGGCTGACCAGGTTTCCAGGCCTAGCCTTATCCCTGACCAAACGCTTCCTATAAGATTTTAACAAAGTTGTGTTGCCGTGAGTTTTAAGTGCAGGTCCGAGTCATTAAAGTGTGAGTACGTATGTGTGTGTGTGGTGTTTAGTGTGTGTCCAAGTGTGTCTTTTGTGTGTGTCTGTGTGTATGTATGTGTGGTGTGTGTATGTGTGGTGTTTAAAGCATGTCCTTGTGTGTGCGTCCGTATGTTGTCAGATTTATCTTACCTTATTCTATGGTCAGTTAAAAAGGTTGTTTCAACGCATGCGCAATCGAGTCCTTTTAACTGTTTAATTATTTATCACTCACTTTTTATTTCCTGTCAGAAGAAATGAACGCGAGATTTACTGATGAGACGGTGTTCTTTTTGTTTTTACTCCGAAAATAAAACCTCATCCAACGGTTTTTATTCCGATGAGATATTTTTTTTTTGTGTAAAAAGATTGGCTTAATACCCAGGACCTGTAATATTAAAGTTTTAATTATTTGTCACTAGATTAGTAACACGATTTGCAGGCGATGGAATTATAAGGGCCATACATAAATTATGTGGGTGCGTATTGAACTGTGTGTGTCGTGAGTTGGTGTATGTTCTGTGTATGTTAAGTGACAGATGGGAGTATATAGATATGAATGGATGTATATGTATGTGTGTAGGTGTAACTATATTTTAAGGCTTATTATAAATATGTATAATGTGTATATAAGTATGTGTACTGATTCACCTATGTGTACCGGTGTATAAGTCTGTATGTGTAAATAATGTGACGTGTGTTTATATGTGTAAATAATGTGACGTGTGTTTGTTTATATGTGTAAATAATGTGACGTGTGTTTGTTTATATGTGTAAATAATGTGACGTGTGTTTGTTTATATGTGTAAATAATGTGACGTGTGTTTGTTTATATGTGTAAATAATGTGACGTGTGTTTGTTTATATGTGTAAATAATGTGACGTGTGTTTGTTTATATGTGTAAATAATGTGACGTGTGTTTATATGTGTAAATAATGTGACGTGTGTTTATATGTGTAAATAATGTGACGTGTGTTTATATGTGTAAATAATGTGACGTGTGTTTATATGTGTAAATAATGTGACGTGTGTTTATATGTGAAAACAATCAGACGTGTGTTTATATGTGTAAATAATCGGACGTGTGTTTACATGTGTAAATAATTGGACGTGTGTTTATATGTGTAAATAATGTGACGTGTGTTTATATGTGAAAACAATCAGACGTGTGTTTATATGTGTAAATAATCGGACGTGTGTTTACATGTGTAAATAATTGAACGTGTGTTTATATGTGTAAATAATGTGACGTGTGTTTATATGTGAAAACAATCAGACGTGTGTTTATATGTGTAAATAATCGGACGTGTGTTTACATGTGTAAATAATTGGACGTGTGTTTATATGTGTAAATAATGTGACGTGTGTTTATATGTGAAAACAATCAGACGTGTGTTTATATGTGTAAATAATCGGACGTGTGTTTACATGTGTAAATAATTGGACGTGTGTTTATATGTGTAAATAATGTGACGTGTGTTTACATGTGTAAATAATTGGACGTGTGTTTATATGTGTAAATAATGTGACGTGTGTTTATATGTGTAAATAATGTGACGTGTGTTTATCACATCGAGTAGGAAGGCAAGAGTGCGGCGTCTCCACCCAATTTAATTAGTCATTAAGCTTAAATCCGGTTACGTAAATGACATGCACATGGCTGTATTAAGTAGTTGCCACTTACACCTGCTGTTGTGTATGTATATGAGGGCAGCAGATGTGTTAGGTACTCAATGAATACATGCTAACCATGTTCTCTGTATGTACAGGTAGTGGCGTTACTAGGTAGGGTGTCACCCGGGGCTGTAAGTAGGGTGTCTCCTTAACCCCTCCAACAATTTTTAAATTTCTGCGAGGTGACATCCCTTTCCCTATACAATTTTTTTTTTAATCTTGGTGTCTTGGGTGGATGAAAAATTGTTTGGATACTACATTTTACGATTATTCGTCGGGGTGTCACCCCCTTAATGGTGTCACTAAATTATACAGTTCGGAGCTAATCGTGAGCTTAAAAGTTTGAAGACTTCTTGTTGATAATTCATATATATATATATATATATATATATATATATATATATATATATATATATATATATATATATATATATATATAATATGTTTAAAGTCTGACAGGTCTTAGATTGAATTTAAAACGATTTCCAGCTATGTAGCTTATTATTCACACCTCTTTCTGACTTATCTAACTTGAAAAGCCTTTTTTTTTAAATCATGGATAATAACAAATATTCAGTTACCGCGCAAATATAATGAACGGGTCCCGTCACTAAAAAACTGTCCAGGGCTTTTAAGTGCTAAATGCAAGTGTTTCCCCCATAGTTTGTTTAAACTAGATAACAACGTATGCTTTCGGCATGCTTTACCCATTGACGAAATAATTAAAGGAGTGGTGGTTGGTGCCTAAGGACAGTCCTAAAGTCTAAAGATGGGGCCTTCTATATAATGGGGATAAGGTTTAGAGAAAGATGTGTTGTGGGAGTGAAATACATGATGTGTTTGATTCACAATATTTGTTTTGTTGTGTGTATGCGTAAGATTTTATTCAGATATATGGCATATAGAGAAGGTATATATATATATATATATATATATATATATATATATATATATATATATATATATATATATATATATATATATATATTCCAATCTGCTATTGCCCCTGCCCACCCACCCCAAAAACTTAAATATGCTTAAAGTAGATCATCCGCTTTAACCTTGGTAGCCAGATGTGGTAACACCCCCCCCCCCCGTCCCCATCTAACAATAGCCCAAAAACTGGCGGGGCACCATGTAAACAACGTTTGAATCATGCCAATACCGACTTACGTGACTTTTATCAGACAAGGGCAAGGGGAGAGAACTGAGTAACGAAGGAGTTACGGTTCCTGGAAGCGGCGATTGCATAACAAGGACGAATTTCTTGATGGATGCAACAGTGACGACACATTGGTGACAAGGTTAATAGAAACACAGAGTGACACAAATCACCACCAATACGTTGCTATTGCCGTCTTTATACCCACTGACACAAATAAAGTATGGCTACATTTTAACGAGAGAGAGGGAGAGAGAGGTTAGACCAATAAGACAACGCATTTCTTGCAAATAGAAACAATAAAAAATCAGATGCATCTACATCTACGATAATCACACCATTCGACACCTTTAGCCTAAATGAGACACTAAGTGCTCTTGGCTGAACCGTAACCAGCTAAAAATAACATTGTTTAGTAATCTAGATGTAAAAATTTAAGTTCAAAACACACACACATTATATATATATATATATATATATATATATATATATATATATATATATATATATATATATAATAGCCTTTTATTATATATTATATATGTGTCCTTATATAGTAAGCCCTATACATTTTAATATTCCATATCATACAGAGTATTATAGAGTCTAGTTATATTACATGTACGTATATATATATATATATATATATATATATATATATATATATATAATATACTATAAGTATAGAGGCAGCTGTATGAATTGCTATAACTATATAACTCAATAGGCCTAGATAGTTAATATATGGCCAATCTATAGTATAACTAAAGATAGAGATTGAGAGAAAAAGAGCGAGAGAGAGCAATGGATAAAAGGCTAACCTACTTACTGTTAACTGTTGCTGTGACTCTCCAACTTATATTGACATCAAATGAACGTCCACGTAAAATCAAAACACACACGGTCTAACGAAATGTTGTCTCGTACAGTCTATTAATAACCCGGGGAAAAAAATCACGTGGATAAAACAGTTCTTCAGCAAGTAAACATTCAGTACGATACGTGTACTGTAGCCATTCGACCCCGGTGAACTTTGGCCTAGTTTTAAAAAACAAATTACCGCTACAAATATTCTCAAGTAATTCACTCCCCTTTTTTGAAACGGCTCGACACAGTTGCGTACCTTTCCTTGACTGGACGTGTGTTACACACTAAAATCACACACATTATTCTGTAACTAACACATTGACAGCCATCCCCTCTACGCAAGTGATTACATCTCAGTTATAAATGGCTTTGAATTGAATGCCTGAATCTGACTGCGAAATCGCCTATTCATCTATTTTTGTAATTCATTTGTAGTTCTGAGTAATTTTTTAGGGTGTGTTCACACGGTGCGGTGTTTTTACATCGGCCAGTTTAAGGCGTGTCGTTCAGTCTACACGCGTGTAACATTTTTTTAACGTGTTATGCTAAAGGGACTTAAAGCAGGAGCGTGGTGTGTGTCTTCGGGGATTTAAAACTGTGTAAGAGAAATATTTAACTGACACAATCATGCTGTTAGACAGCAGTCGACTGACACAAGCATGTTGGCAAGACAACACAGCACAATCATCCTTCCAGACAGCAATCCAATGTCCTATCACAATCTCAGACAGCTCGGCTGTCATAATACAAGATAGAGATGTCTTGACATGATTTATACCTGACTGTCACAGTGTCAGACAGTCTGCCCTGAGCTGTCAAACACAGCAGCCACCCCCCCCCCCCAACTCCTTACCCCCCCCCCCCCCACCTCCACCACCCCCTCTCCCTCACCTTTTGTTGTTAATCGTCTAGAGTTTACGGACAACGCCTTACATACACATTAACTCTCCTCTGTTATACAGATGGATACAGGTCTTTGTATTTGTAACTTGATTACTTTTCGCTAGCCATTGATAATTAATGCCTAAATTGTACTAACAATGCTTTATTTGCTTAACCCAGACGACAGAATAAGATCAGCTACACCCACTGGATAATGGGATGAAGGATTATTAGGATAGATAAGAGACTAATCTTAAACTGAAGTATGGATGGTGCTTGATCGAGTCGTTCTATCTAGATCTAGATCGTTCTATCTACCTATAAATCTTTCTATCTACGTATAGATCTACACCATTCAAGTTAACACACACACCAATACAAGTGGCTACACATTACTGGGAGATGAGAATATGTGTGGAGGACGGCACAATTATGTTGACATACGCCGTGGTAAGCCTCTTCAATTGCTGGTCAAGCACATACACTGACCCCTTGTTAACTCAACTAACACACTAACCAGTTTGTACACGTTATTGTTTGTACTAGCGTACACCTAAAAACTTTAACCAGGAAACTAATTCTATAGCCTTGTCTTCTTAAAGTAGATACATATGCATGCATTTCTCATTGTGTCAACTAGATTCCTAAAGCTTGTTTTTGTTGTTGTCAGTTTCTGTTTAGATTTGGTCCAAGGTTAGCGTTGATTTCTAGTAAGTCTGAGTTTGGCGCGCGAACATCTATATTTATCTTTTTAAGTGGTTCAAATAGACATCGTTGGGAGGGGTGAGATAAATTGTGTGAGCGGAATTTTTTTCTGAAAATCTTAACACACTCACAACATTTGAGTATAATAAAACATACGCTAGCCTATCGAACGTGAAAACCACATTGCTTTTGCCTTTTTTTTTTTAAAAGTTTAATTAACGAAAATACTCAAAACATCGAATACATCCACTCTAGTCCGAAAAAAAACGAACACTCAATGTTTTATAACCAAATTAATTTTAATTACACCGTGCATGATTTTTTAACTATTCAATGGGCCTCTCGAATACCTTTGAGACTATAGTTTGGGTCAAAAACATTAAGACACTGTCTTAACTAACACATATGACGGTGTGGTTAATTATCAAAGCCAAGTCAAACTCTCGAGTTCACCCAGTTCTGAAGGGTGCCTGACTTACGTTAGGGAAAGTAAAAGGCGGCTGGGCATAGCGCTGACCACACTATATCTTCATATGCCGAGATCACAGAAACAGGTGAACTCTGCTTCACCTATCCCTTGGGACGCCAGGTCCGAAAGCGAAACTTTACTTACTTCATTTAACCAGTTGTGCGAGCAATGATTACATAGCTCTAGACACGAATACACGGCACACGTCACCACACTGTATCTCATCACACAGATATATTCGCCCATCTGTTACCATGTGTGTGGGCTATGATAAGTGTGGGTCACACGTGGTATCAATTCAATCCTTCACGCGAAGATAATTCAATGTAAGCCAGAATGATCAGATATCCTTGAATGTGCTGGTTGTATCGGTGTTTAGCACGCCTATCTATGGCCCGCATTGACATGGCGAATGCCTAATTAGAGATTGTGAGTGAAGTTCCCATTATACTTGAGAATTAAAACGCTATATATTTCTACTGCGACTGAGTAGGCCTATTACTTTTTTGTATTAGAAAAAAAAATATTGAGACTTATTAAATATTTATTGAAACCAATAGATACATTTTTATATATTTTATGTAGTTAAAAAAACAACTCACATTGAATAAAATAAAACACTGTTTTGTGATTGGAAATGTGATGGGTAAAAATACGATAATGAAAAGAAGCATAACCCAATATTTGTTGCCCGTAAAAATATTACAGAGGTTATTTCCCATGCTAAAAAGAACTAAGTTCAGTTACATCAAAGTATGTTACACACACGTATCATATCTATATATATAATTCTCTTCTTCGAGCCGTTAGAAAACAAGCTGCAACCTCGCCTTACAGTCCCCTCTCTTCCTCTATATCAATATCACAACCACCCCCACCCCGCCCCCACATTGTCTGGTGAGTTGTGTTCACTCTGTTTACATTTTACAATCACAGAGACGGGTTTGGTGACGGCTATTAGGGGCAGATTCCTTCCTTCCTTCCTTATACGGAAACCGGCTCAGAAGGTTGACTTCCATCAGCCAGGCAGGCCTCAGTGTAGCAAACCCCGAGAGAGTTTCCCACACATCGGTCGCTACTTCCGTGGGCTCTCACCAGGCTTTCCTTCCCCACCCACCAGACGCGGGACGTCGTCCCACCGCCTGGTACCCAGCTTGATCGTGGGGGGCATTCCGCCAGATCAAAACCCTCTAGCTGCTGTTATCTGCCACTGGCCATTCCGCACCCACTAGGGGGGACATGAGTTTGGTCGGACCAGTGGCATTATTCCGAAGCCCCGTTAAGGCCGCCGCTTAAAGTCAAAAGATCTGGTTGCGGACTTTTGGTTCCCGGCAGTCTTGCACCTCTCCTCCCCCACGCTATTATGTGGGGGACTTGGGAGTCCGACGTACCAGGCTCTTCGGAAGAGCCGAACGCATACAGCAGCTCCACTCGGCCAGATCAAAAACCTCTAGCTGCTGTTGGCTACCACTAGCCATCCCGCACCCACTAGGGGGGTCATGAGCTTGGTCCGACTAGTGGCACACATCCGAAACCACGTAAAGGCCGCAGCTTAAAGTCAAGACATCTGGTTAGGGTCGAGAGCAAAACCCTTCTTGGTTCCCGGCAGTCTTGCACCTCTCCTCCCCCACGCTATTTAGAGCAAGCAACGGAGATTCGCCCGTCTAATGCGGACAAATCTCCTGGCTCGCTCATGTAGGGGACTTGGGAGTCCGACGTACCAGGCTCTTCGGAGCCCGTCCTACGAAAGTCCTACAGCGGCTCCTTCCGCAGGTCTCGGGCGTACAGATTAAAGACCCCTAGCTACCGCTAGCTCCCCGGGTAAAAACCCGGGTCCCCTTCCGCGACCACGAGGAGGTCGTAGCTTCAGGTCGAAACATCTGCCGTAGGGCCATAAAAACCCCTTTTGTTCCCAGTCCCTGTTCATCCACTCCAGCCCACATGGCTGCGGGAGTTCGAGGGCACCAGGCTGCGCGGAATTAGGGGCAGATAATTTAGTTTGAACCGACTTTAAACTTACAGGAGGTAACTAAGAGGAGGCTGCTTTCACGGGGGGGGGGGGTGTAGGGTCGGGGTTAGGGGAAAGGAGGGGGGTTAGTGTTTTAAAGCAAATATTTTCAGTGGCAGCATTGGTACTGTCGAATTCACAAATTATGAATTACTGAAAAGTAGAAATTAAATCAACTAAATAGCGGCGTATGATACGCCGCGGGTCGGCTCGTTTATATTATTTATGCATTTTTAAAGTATGTTATTTTTACTAATAATATTTTATCAACATGTTTGAAAATATTCTTTAATGTTCAAACGTTTACATATGCACTTAGATGGTTTCATATACATGTACTGATATTATACATTCACATAATGTACGTATGTTAAAAAAGAGAGGGTAACACTACTTCGAGGTTTTACACTTAATTTTACTCTATGTTTACTGTGATAATTGTACTTGGCACCCATGTTCATTTACAAACAGGCGTAGCCTAGTTTTAAACTTTTAAATTAAGTCTTTTATATCGATAGTAACGAAGTTTAAAAAGCTACGAGACATCGTAGCTAAAAAAAAAGACGTTGAAGAAAAAGTCGATTTGTCTCTCCTTTTGAAGGAACTACTTTGAATAGATTGAGCAAATTCTCCACTAGCACTGATGAATTCAGTCGTTGAAAGTTTGGGAGACGCCCAGGAAGGAAGGGGACATCACTCTTAAAATCTAGTTTCCCCGTGTGATGGGAAGAGTGGTCGTTATTATTGAATGTTGATGGGTTATTGTCAAGTAACTGAAAAATTCACCATGGCAAAGTTTTGGGTGAGAACCCTAGCTGCGCCACACAATATAGCATATACAGGTGTACACAATATGCATCAATTTAACTAAGATAATGGAGGTATTGACACTTTTTAAACACGCTTTTTATTTTGTTTATAATGTCCGTTTGGGGGTTGTGAGAAATCTTTTAACTTAACCAACTTCTAATGCAGAGATTTCGTTCAAACTTTCCAAATACATTTTTCTACGATGACAATGCAAGGATATCTAATTGTTAATCGAATTAGATAAATAGTCATGATACTTTATTTTTTTAGAAGTAGGCCTACTAAGCGTCGACCATTGACTAAGAACGAGCAGATGATTGTCTATTTAAAGATAGCAAGCAACAGATCGGGTTTATCCGCACTTATTTATAGTCGTAGCCTAACTGGTGTCATCTTCATTTAGAACGAATTAATAC